ATGCAAGAAAAAAAATATAAAAATGCAGTGTGACAAACCTGGAGTAAAAAAATTTAACTTACATTCATGCACACTATGTGTTTGCTAAAGTTCTTGACCAAGTAATCAACTTCATGAAGAACGGTAAGTAACCCCCCAACATTTTCAAATGCCTATCATATCCAGAAACAAAAAATTAGCATTTTATCACCACCAACAACATAATCACATTTTAATACCTAGAATCAGAGAGATGTAAGAAGTTAAAATGCAAAAAAAATTCAAGTAAACAATAATACATATAACCAAAAAATGCAAGTAATGTAATATATATCCTATTGTGAAACTCAATGTTGTATTGGGTGGTGTAACTTGGTTAGAACCTGACCTAATCAATTAAATAAAGAGATTAAATAACAAAATGAGGATGTGAGGCAAAATAAGCTTGCATATAGAAACTTCTTGAAGTATTTCCTTGAAGCAATATCTTTAATGATTGCTAGAGATAGATAGATAGCAGTAGTATAGAGTGCGTACCTTCTTTTGTCAACTTTCTCCATAGCCTTAGCAATAAGTTCACCAGTATCCCTTTCTCTATTTGTTGATATTCTCACAACCTTTTTATTAGGTCATATAAAAAATGGCACCAATAAAATAGTTAGTAGGTTGGGTGACAGAACTATAGCTCCAATATCCTGCGATGAAATTAAAAAAAAAACATAATGAATAAGTGAAACAACAAACTAAAGGAATAAGCTACTATCTACTGTAACAAACAACTACAAGGACATAAAAAGTGTTAAAGGTGTAAGTTGTAAGAGAAAATTTTCAAATATATTACATTTTAAATTATAACAAACAACAATGATATGGAAAGTCAACAAAGCATGAAAATAAAAACAACATAAAAAGATTTAATAATAAAAAAAGGTAGAGAAAGTAAATTACTTCAAAAGTAAAATAATTGGAACTGAATTGCTTTTTTAAAATGTGTTATTTTGAAAAAACAATAAATAATATAATATAATACATCTTTTTTTAAAAACAACATGCTTTCATTAAGAGGTTTGAAAGAAATCACTTAATGGTCAAATATTGTTAGGTAAATGATGTATAAGAAAGAAAATCATAGAAATGAAAATTTTGAAATTATAAATAAATAAATAAATAAATAAATAAATAAATAAAACCCTTAGAACTTGAAGAGGCAGCAAATACTAATCTCTTAATTTGTTGTTGCTCTTATGCTAAAGTAGATAACACAAAGACATCCCATTCATGAATGAGTTAAAAGAATAGAAGACATATCAGAGCTACGTTTATAACCATGATCAGTTAATTATAAAAAATTAGTATAAATACATTTGATGCATGTTTTCCTGTGACAAACATCAAGGCAAAATGGTAATAGAAAAAGGTTAAATTGTCATAATTTTCAATAGTTGAATCAAGACAAATTAGGATGCTATAAAGAGTGTTTTGATGCCAATTTCACCTGTTTTTTTTTTTCGAGAATTTAGCCTGGTAGCAGGAATTGGAGTGTAAAAAGTATAAAAGGGCATTTTTGGTATAATAATGATTGTTTACTAAAAAATACAGGTGAATAAGGTTTGGAATCGTTTGCTCATCATTTATAAAAGCTTAAAAGTTTGTACTCTTGTAATATTTAATTTCAAAAATCAATTTCATTAGCCATTAACACAAAAAAATGATAAATCATGTTTAAAACTCATAAAATTCGAAATGGGTATGTTATTCTTAACTTCACATTGTTGTATTTTTATGCATTACATAAGTCTCAAAAGCAACTAAACTCATTAAATGATTAAAAAACCAAGCAATAATCAATTTTTTACCAGAAAAGTATTTGATTAGACAATGTCTAGATGTAAAGAACAAATGGATTTAGGGTTTAACAAATAATCTAAGAAAAAAGTGACAGTAAATAGTATCAAGAAACATGAGCTACAATTGTACAAACCTGGAAGGTACCATCCCCTAAAACTTTTAGTTCTTTTAGTTCAACTAATCATAGAGCTTCAATCTAAAAATAAATGACCTGATAAACAATGAAAGAAGATAAATGACCTGATAAACAATGAAAGAAGCATCCTTTTGACCTGATAAACAAATATCAATAAGACAATAAGTAAAAATTTAATGTAATCAAGAGTAGAAGATAAATGACCTGATAAACAATGAAAGAAGATAAATGAATAAACAATGAAAGAAGCATCCTTTTGACCTCATAAACAAATATCAATAAGACAATAAGTAAAAAGTTAATGTAATCAAGAGTAGAAGATAAATGACCTGATAAACAATGAAAGAAGCATCCTTTTGATCCATATACTCGATACTTGTAATTATCAAATGTCAATATATTAGGAGGAACACCCAAATATATTTTCCCTACTTAAAAACAACTTGATTAACAAAGATATGCACTCAATGAATCAACTGTAGATAACGATAACAAATTGGAAGATTAAGTAAATTCGATTTAATATGTTCTCCAATAGTAATAGTTTAGAAACTCAAACGTTTGAAGAGTAATAGTTTAGATTTCATTAGCCCTTGTTCAATGAGTAATCCGAAAAAAGAGTTTGAACATGTTAGGAATCGGACCGGGTACACGCAGCGGAAACACACTATCACACACTCACAAACGAAACGAGAAAATAAAGCAAGAAGAACACAAGAATATTACGTGGTTTGGATTCAGTACAAATCCTACATCCACGGGCCGCAACTAGAGATTTTATTATTGCTAGAAGATTACAGTACAAGTTGGTACATCTACAAATGAATGATGAATGTTCTATTTATAGGCAAAGAGCCGATGCTTAAGGAAATAAAGAATGGATGCATTCCTTTGCTTTTCCTCCAAATGAGGTGTTCCACATTCCTTTGTCTGCCACTTGCTTTCCCTTTTTATTGCTTTGTGAGTTGGAAAAGACACCAACTACCCAACAATCTCCCACTTGGGGCTTTGAACAACTCAGGCTTTTTCTACCATCCAACTCTAGCAACATTCCTCAGTCACTTCAGTAATCTCTAAACCAGACAAGTCTTCCAATCTTCCTGTTCCCAAGAACAAGCTAAACTTAGTCTCATTTCTCTAGTTGCAGCCGCCCCTCATCATCAAGTACAAGAAGAGCTAGTTGAAGCTCCCACTAGCTCCAACTCAGTCGTGGCTAATCCCGCCACCGACTCATCCTCTGTCTCAACCGGTTTGGACACTCCACCGGATCCAGAGATACACCGAGGACCACTAACACTCTCCAAACTTAGCAAACTTCCAACAGGAGAGAATTTTTCAGTCTTAGTCTTCAAAACCCAACGCTCTTTGTAACTGTACCCGGAACACGCCCCGTGCTCCCACTGTCACAGAATCTCCTGACTGGTTTAGACTTTCCGACTCGTTCAGCTAACATCCCATTGGCTCCAGAATTCATGTTTGCAAAATGAACTCTCTTAGCCGTAGATTTAGCGAACCAGATTTTGTCTTGCTTAACAGGGACGGTCATACTTCCCTCAGCAGGTACCTCAACCATATACAATGACCCACACTTTATACCATGAGCAATCACCGAATTACCATTGACCACCCTCCATTTACCACCACCAAACCTTACTTCCAGTCCTTGTTTATCCAGCTGACCAACAGAAATCAATTTCTTTTTCAGCTCCGGAATCACCCTGACATTCTTCAGGTTCCATGTAGTTCCCAATGAAGTAACCAGATCAATATCTCCTATGCCCGTTACTTGAAGCATCTCGTCATTTGCCAACCGTACCTTCCCAAAATCTCCTTCTTTTAGATTCACCATCGTTTCCCCGTTGTCCATGGCGTGAAACGAAGCCCCTGAATCCATGACCCAAGAGTCTACAGAACTTTCCATACTGAGTAACAATGCATCATCCCCAGAAAAATTCTCAGCATAGCAATGTTCAATTCTTTCTTTGGACATTGACTCTTAACATGTCCCACTTCTTGACAGTTCCAGCATTTCACATTCTTCAAAGTTCTAGAAGAACTTTTTCCCCGACTCCCACTGCTCCCACTATTCCTGCTATTCCCTCTACCTCTTCCGACATTTAATAAATCAGAAGAGGAAGATCCACCTTGATTCTTGCGTCTGATATCCTCGCCTAGAACCAAATCTCTAACCCCTTCAAAAGTCATACCACTAGTCCCCACGGAACTCGTAACAGCAGTAACTGTTCCGGACCAACTATCAGGTAGAGAAGCTAGTAGCAGCGAAGCTTGAGTCTCATTATCAAATTTAATTCCCACAGATGATAATCTGGACAGAATTGAATTTAGATTGTTAATGTGAACCGTAACTGAGCCTTCCTCATTCATCCTTGTAGTGAACAGCTCCTTCATCAAGAACACCTTGTTAGCCGCCGATGGTTTCTCATACATATTTGACAGAGCCTCCATCATACCACGCGCCGTGGTTTCATTCATGATGTTGAAAGCAACGCTCTTCGTCAACGACAATGTAATAACCGCCTTGGCTTTCTTGTCCTTTGAGTTCCACGCATCTTCAGCAGCTTTTTTTCCATTTTCTCCGGTTTGTCTCCGAGTACCACGTCCAAGTCTTTCTGACATAGCAATGCTTCTAATTACATTTTCCACCAGCTAAAATCAGAACCATTGAACCTTTCGATTATAACCTTGTCTTCAGCCATTACGGCAAACAAAAAAAATAAGGTACACTCGTGTGTGACAGAAAAACGATCGTACCCTCCAAAACCTCGCTAACCAGGCTCTGATACCAGTTGTTAGGAATCGGACCGGGTACACGCAGCGGAAACACACTATCACACACTCACAAACGAAACGAGAAAATAAAGCAAGAAGAACACAAGAATATTACGTGGTTTGGATTCGGTACAAATCCTACATCCACGGGCCGCAACTAGAGATTTTATTATTGCTAGAAGATTACAGTACAAGTTGGTACATCTACAAATGAATGATGAATGTTCTATTTATAGGCAAAGAGCCGATGCTTAAGGAAATAAAGAATGGATGCATTCCTTTGCTTTTCCTCCAAATGAGGTGTTCCACATTCCTTTGTCTGCCACTTGCTTTTCCCTTTTTATTGCTTTGTGAGTTGGAAAAGACACCAACTACCCAACAGAACAAACCCTAACGAAAAAATCTATCGATTTGAAATGAACCCTAACTTAAATTTACATTGTACAAAATTAATAAAGCATCACGATTGTTACCTGTACCATCAGTAGCAAGAGCGATTGTTCATTTGACCGATGAAAAGTTGATGAAGAAGGCAGATCAAGATAAGAGATTTAAGGCATAATATGAGGATGTAGACAGAAATAAAAGACAGAAGGATCGTCGTGGGGTTCGCTGTGATAGAACGCGTGACCTGTGTCATGTGGCGATTATAGAGGCGAATTAGGATTACGTTTTCTGGCATCGATTGAAGTAGAAGGGAATAGTTTTTTATCTTTAGGTTACGATTGGAAGAGAGAGAGAGAGAGAGAGAGAGAGAGAGAGAGAGGAGAGAGAGAGAGGATAACGAAGGAAGGAAGACAAAAGTAGGATACAGTGTTTGATTAATACCTTAGTCAGTCAAAGATGATGTCAGCAAATAATTTAAGGGTGGAAAATTTAAGATTAAAATGCAATCAATGACCTTGATTTCTTCAATTTAGAATTAAAGGTTATCTTTTAATAATATTTAGAGATTATTATTATCATCAGCTTGCATCATGTCCTTCTTATAGGGATTCACTTAATGTTCTTGAGGTAGATATACAGTTTGCTAATATAATGTATTTCCTTTTCACTCTCGGTTCCTTCTGCGTATCCTTTTGTAGCTTTATCTGGATTTGGGTTCTTTAATGGATTTTCAAATGGAATGTGAATATGTGGTGGTGTTTTTTACGTATTGTTTTATAGGTGAAATTCTGTCAAAGAATTTGCTGATTTGGTGTTTATGTGAATTGATTGTGTATGAAAAAAAAGAACGTGAATCCTTGGGTTCCAAGGTCGATATTTTTCAAAATTTTTAGTGAATTTCCCAATTGTTGAAACTATAGCGAATTTTATTGTGGGTGTTTAATTTTTAGCGGCTTATGTTAATTTTGCGATTACAAAGTAGTTTGTTTGACTTTATATGCTAGTCTAACTTTTTCCTAATGAACAAACTTTTATTATTTCATGAGTAATTTGCACAGATTACCTATGTGGTTTGTGATAATTTATGTGTTTGGTTTCTAACATTTTTTTTTAAATCAGACGGTCCCTACATTATGTTTTGTTGCATCGTTAGTCCCTAGCCGAAGTAAAATTATTATTTTACCCTTACCAATGTCATTTTACTTTATTTATTATTTATAATATTAAAGATAATCTCTCTCTCTCTCTCTCTCTCTCTCTCTCTAAACAAGGAACAATTGCATATTGTCTTTTACCTTATCAATTCTATGATTTTCAATGATGTGAATTTGCAATAGTAAGAGGAATGTACGAAAAATCTTAAGCTTCATTTATTCTTCTATATATATATATGAAAACTCAATAAAATTTATATTGCCCTTGAATCTTGAATCTTGATACATTGTTCAATAGATGTTTATAGATGAATATTGATGGTTTTACTTTGTTGCAGTTTGGGTTTTTGGTTCCACCTCAGCAAGGGCAATTTCGTCCACTAGGACAAGGCATGCCTCCTGGTCGAAGTCAGTCGGCATAGTTTTCTCAGCCACAGTAGCAAATGTCTCCATGGCCAAGGCCCATGCCCAGTCAGCATGCCCATGCCACATCCTCATTTATAGCACCATCAATGCCTTATATGCTGCAGCCAAATATGACTTCTACATCTTCTTCACAGAACTCTGCAACTACAAACACTCATGTGCCTGGTTTAACTGGTCCTGGATTACCATTATCTTCTTCATTTACTGTAAGACCTGTGTACCCTTTCGGTTAAATGCAAGAAATAACAAGCTACTACAGAAAAGTGTTCTCTTAAATGCAAAGAAGTATAATTGTTATCCATGAATTTAATCTATTACTACTTTTGTACTTTTTATTTGTACTGTTTGTCATAACATCCATGTTTTGTGAATCAGAAGCTTGCAAATCATTCTAGACAATGCTATCTTTTTATTATTTCTAGCCGTTTTAAGGATTTTCATACTCTCGATTTAATTTGTCATTTGCTATGACACCCTTGTAGTTTTAACATTTGGAGCAGTTCTGGATATTGCACATATATGTGATATAACAAGTTCTTGTTGAAGTCTTCACATTTTTTATTTTTTTTTATCTATCCCCCTAATCCCTCTTGATGCTCTTTAACTCTAATCCAAATTAATAACAATAATTTGGCATCTCTCAGGATAAGTACTACATGTCTTCTGGTTATTCTCTCTCAACTCTACAGGTTTTAATTTTTACCTTTAATTACTTCTATATTTGAACTTCCATGCATAGATGATAAATCTAACATCCTTGCTTGTTAACTTTCCAGGCCTAGCTTTGTTTTCTTGTCTTTGCTTGCTTTGGATATTGCCAGCCACTGGTTGTAAATGTACATGTATTTACAAAAATACCTTTTCATCTACTTTCTGTCTTTTGAGTTGTGATTGTGAGCTTATGGGAGCCTTTTTGAATATTGCAGCACTTTCTTGGTTGGAAAAAATAATCATAAAAATGTGAAAGACAACACCAGTTGGTTATTTTTATTTTTTTTACACATTTATTGTTCAATACAAAGTATACTAGAGTTATGAAGTGAAGTTTTTGATCTTGATCCTGCAGGTTCTTTACATAACTTTGTTTCTTCTTGCAAAGGAGTCGGAAAAGATCCAATGTAAGCCTGAATCTATATGGTGCCTTTTTTTTTGGTTACATTTTTACAGATGTGATTTTTTTATGAAAATGTAGGTTTTGCTTGGTGTTGCATGACAAAGTTTGATAAATTATACGTTACTTGCTTTTCTTCTATTTAGATGGGCAACTAAGCATTTAGTCAATATTATACATGTATCAATATCATCTTCATGATATAACTTTATCTCCTTTATCAAGTCGTCTAGAGTTTGTGCTTCATTTTCCTTATGGGTCTTGTGTGTATAGTAGTTAAAGATCTTTAACCTTTTTTTTAAATGAACGGAATTTAATTCCAGGTTTGTTTTGGTTGCCAAATGGTTGGAATTCAGTTCCCTCGGAATCCTTTAAATTTCAGGATGGATTTCACTGCTTGTAAGGCAAGGCGGAAGGAATTCAATTCAAGTCTTCTTTTTTCATTAAAGAGCAAGATACTTTCATCAAATAATAAAAATAAGATATTCATTTATATATAGTTACAACAAACAATAAATTCATATATATATATATATATATATATATATATATATATATATATATATATATAGCGTTGGGTTCATGTGAGCAAGCTTAATTTTGTAAGACCGTGAGACGCAATTCTAGCCACTCATTTAGTAGATAAAACAAAAACATTTTTAAAATGCAAAATAATTGAAAATTTTCGAATTTTTTTTTCCAATATTATTTTTGAAATATATATTTTCCAAAAAAAATAAAAAAAATACCAAAAAAATAAAAAATAAAATAAAATAAAAATACATTTTTTACATATTCTAGTAGAATATTAGAATATTCTACATATCTGACAAATATTCTAACATTCTAAAAATCATATTAGAATATGTACAGTGTAATATTCTATTAGAATACTTCACGTATTTTTCAAAAAAAAAAAACGGGATTTTTTTTTTATTTTTTTAGGTAATTCAAGTTCCGAAAATTATAATTAAAAAAGACTTTTTGGATTTTTCCTTTTATTTTGCATTTTAAAATTATTTTTAGACTTGGTCTCACGATCTCAAAAAATTAGCATGGTCTCAAATGAACCTGAACCTATATATATATATATATATATATATATATATATGTAATGGTTCAAATGAGAACAAAAAAATATTAAGAACTTAAGAACCTTTAATTTTAGCTTATAATTAAATTAAATACTTTCTTTTGTCTATTAATTACTAAAAAACCGAATGGCATGATTGTAAATAACCAAAAATCACAACCTAGATGACAAACAAATATTCATAACTTTAAAATAGATCTAAAAAAAATCTGATTAATTCTTTCATGTTTTTCAAAAACCATCAACATCTCACTTGCTTCCGTCCTCCCGGCAACCTCATTCCACCGTCGATTTCCACCCTACCACCGACTCACCGGAATCCAAGTCGGCACCGATGTTGCCATCCAAAGTTGTGATTTCTGCTCTAGATCCACAACTATTGTCCCACCCACCCTAATAATCGACATTTATTCTTCACACCAACCATTCATCTCGTTCTCTTCCCTCTGTGTTTTTCTCCCCTGTGCGTAGTTTGCATCGGTCATCCGTCTCCAGCCGATCTCCAAGACCATCGCTGCCACTGCCAGCGTCGACAACCGATTCCGACAGCCCGTTCCGATCCGGTATGTTTCGAACTATTCATCATAAGCATTGTGGCTTCAGTGTTCCATAAGCATTGTGGCTTCAGTGTTCTGGTTTTCTCCCTTATGTGTTCCGATTTGCTCCCCTATGTGTTCCGATTTTGGATTTTTTCTTGTTCATCAATAAGCATAGCCGGAAATCCAACTGTTACTTCAATCAATTTTCACAGCTCATTTATATACATCGATTTCACAATTGTGTTTACATAAGTCTATTGTTCTGCTGAAAAATTGATGTGTTCATGAAAATTTGATGAAATTTGTTTAGAAGTTAAATTAACAGGTGGATTTTTTTCTGTAAATTGATGAACTGTAACAGGTGATTTTTTCTGTGAAAAAATGTTTTTACTCCTTCCTTTGACTGATACATGTTAACTTCAATTTTATGGTTTGATGTTTTCATGAAAAAATTATGAAATTGGTGGAATCAGTTTAGAAATTGAATGAATTGTTGTAAAATCACATATAATAGTTGGTTTAACTGTGAAATCACTTATAATAGTTAGATTTTTTTTTTTCTGGTTTACAGTTTTATTTGTGTGTGAATTTGTTACTTTGGTTTGATGTTAGGTATTTCAATAGTTTATATCAATGTTGTCTACGATGACTTGAAAATGGCGGTGATATTATAACTACAAAAGGAAGATGAAGGTCAGATGTGTATGGAGAGAACGAGAAGCAACAGTCGTTGAAGTTTAGGTTGTGATTTTCACCTCCACAAACGCCTGCAAAAGCTTCTCCGATGAACTTATCCGATTATGTTATATGGAGATGCTGAAACAATTGCAAGGTACATATCTCGTATGAAAGGTTTTAATTTTTCTCTTTTACCTGAATATGAGTTTTGTCGTTTGCTTGGCCTGCTTGCTAGCTGTCTTACAACTTTTTTTTACATTTATTGAGATAGACTAACTATTAGCTTCCATGTAGCAATATAGGTCCTTTTTTATTTATTTATTCAAACGTATTTATTTGATGGAACAATTAATAAAATTTAACCAAGTCCTAAGAGTATTATCGTAATGCACTTTATGCTTTACACATCTCAAAGTTTAATTAGTTTTACAATAACAGTTGATTGCACATAAACAGTTATTTATTATGTCTAATCAATTTTAAAGTTAATAAACAAAAAATGATTTATTTGTACCATATATGTGTCAATTTAATTTTTTTCAACATGAAGTTTCAAACAATAAACTTTATTAAGAAAATATTTGGGCCTTAATGAATATTTAATAAATAAATTAATTAAACAATGGTTAGTATAATATTAGAGAGATACAGTAATAATAATGAGTTAATATCAATTGTTATTTGTTTTTCAATCAACTAATTGAAAAAAATATTTTATATGTTTTGGTATTTAAATATGGTGTATTGGCCGCTATATTAAGTTGTATTAAACTGTGAATATCTATTTTTAATTGTGAATATTGTTCTAAGCTGTGATTTTAAACTTTAAATATTATTTTAACTTGTGATTTTATATATAAAATTAATTATGATATAATGAAGAGCAAAAGATAATTTAGATAAAACATACAATAATGTCATCTTGAAATTTGATTGTGATACAACTCAAAGTTGTTTGTTAAACTATATTATTTATTAATTATTATTTATTATATTATATTAAGTTGTATATTGAACTAAGAATTAATGTATGAATGCTTGTATTAAATATCCAAATATGATTTTTTTGTTCCAAATATGGTTTTTGGCGCTTGCTAGAGTGTATTAAATTATGAATCCAAGTTTCTTTTCTTATTTGTTATAATATTTTAATAGAATTGTTGCTCATAATTTAGGTTTTTTAATTGTTATGTTGTGAATTGTATTTATAATATGTCATTTTGTAGATGTTTTCTCTAATAATATGAATTTAGTTTTTTTTTTAAGTTGTGAATTGTGATGTTTTATTGTTTCATAAACTATTTAGTTATGTTAATGTTATTTTTACTATTATTAATAAAAAAGTATAAGTTTTATTATGTGAATACATGACTTTTTTTATTAATTTTAATCTAAGAATATATTATTTTTATAAGTTTTAAGTTGTTTTTTAAAATCGATCTGAATATTTTTTATAGAGCATACAACGTGTTTGATTAAATTGTGAATAAGAGTCCTGAAATGCTTTATTAAACTGTGAATTCTAATTTTTTTTATCCTAATTTGAATTTTATACCTATAAAATAGTTATGAATGTAGTGTATTAAACTGTGAATATGTGTTTTTATGTATTAATTTGTGAATATGTAAGTTAAGTTGTGAATGTGTTTTTTTATACACTAAGTTGTGAATTAGAGTCTGAAATATTGAATTAAGTTGTGAATTAGTGTCTGAAATATTAAATTAAGTTGTGAATTAGTGTCTGAAATAATGAATTAAACTGTGATTTTTTTTAACCCTTATCTGATTTTTTAGAGAATGGTGTTGGCGGTGTTGACATTGTTGCTTTGTGGTGACGATGGTTGATGGCAACGTATGGTAGTTGGCAGTGTTAATGGTGGTGATGGTGGTAGAGTAATGACATGTTCTATTTTTCACTCATCTTCTTCACTGATTTCAGATAAGTTATCATCTTTTATGATTCACGTATATATTTTTATTTTGATGTTTGCTTATGAAGTATAAGATAAATTATGTATGTATTAAAATATAAATGAGTTTTTTATACACTGAAATATAAAATTATACTTGTAAATAAGTTGTGAATGTATTGTATTAAACTGTGAATTTGTTGTGTTAAACTGTGAATTTGTTGTGTTAAACTGTAAATTTGTTCACAGCTTAGTATAATAAATTCACAATTTAATAGATAAAAATGCCTCTAGATATGAACGTATAACTGTTAGTATTAAGTTATAAAAAAAATATAGTTGTGCATATATATTTTTTGTGTATTAAACTATGAATTATTGTATTAAGCTGTGAATTTTTATGTATTAAATTGTGAAATGATTGTATTAAGCTGTGGATTGGCTGTATTAAGATTTGAAATTTTTATGACTTTTGTTTTTGCTTCTGAAATATGAGAAGAAAAAATCATTATACATATATATGATTTTCTCTAATTTTAACAAAATTATATAAAATTTAATTTGTGAATATTATGTAAATTAAATTTTGAAAAAACACCAACCTCTAGATCTAAATGTATAAATTTATGTTTTAAGTTAAGAATATGACATTTTTATGTATTAAAGTTTTAATTTTTTATATTAAGATTTAAATTATATATATATTAAACGATAATTAAGTATATTAAATTGTGAATTGATTGTATGTTGCTATGATTTTTTTTATATAATTTTTGTATTAAAATATGAATGGTTTATGTAAAAAAAATTGTATTAATTTCTTGTGAAAATATTTATTGTAATGTTGTATAAGTAAGAATGCCTTAGTTTTCATAATAATTTTGCATTAAATTCAAAATGAATGAATTAATCAGTTTATTAAACTATGAATATATTATTTAACATGTCATTGTCTGACTTTATATACAGATCTCATTTTGAAGAAAAAATTGTTGCAAGGTGGTTAGTGGCGGCATGTGGTGGTGGTAAAGTTTGAGTTTGATTTCTATGAATTTGAGAATTAATATAAAATAAGTTCTGTTAAGTTGTGAATTTTGTGTATTAAACTGTAAATGGAGTGTATAAAGTTGTATTTTATAAAAGTTTTGTGTTAAAATATAAATGAATGCAAGCACGAAAATATTAGACTAAAAAAATTTATGATTTTGCCATTTTCTTACCAAAACGACAAAAATCAGGATTTTAACACACTTGATAATATTCACTATATATTTAGTTATTATAAATACTATTGACGACGGTGAGTCTAACCGTCGTCCTCAAAATCTCAGCCCTTAAAACTCTACGTTCTTTCAATTTCGTCCGCATAAACTCCAATTTAGCGGTTTCTTGCAGTTCATCTTCCTGGTTCTTCTCCGCACGATTCCGTCTGTACCCACGTTGTAGAGAAGTGGTTGTTGTTTCCTCAAGAACCAGTTGATTTGGAAACTGCATTCAAGTGTAGCACGCATCCGACTTTTACCGTTAATGGGAAATTGGTTTTAATCGATAACTGCACCGCACGATTCCATGGTTGCTAGAAATCAGGTGGCTCTGAATAGCCGTCTTGGCTATATATAAAGAGTTGAATTTGAAGGTAATTGCTACAATGAGAGTTGTCGATTGACAATTGTTGGAATACATAGTTGCTTCTGTTGCTCCAATGTCTTCTGAATCGTCTGTTCATTTGTTTATTCGATTTCCATTGTTTCTATGTCATTGCATTTTTTTTTGTTTCAATTGGTAGAACATTGAAGTTGTTGCTGAAAAAATGTATCCCCCGAAAGATCTATCAAAATCAACAGTTGATGCTAATGATTCCAATTCCTCTGACATACCTTCAGCTGAGGTAAACATTCAATTGTTTAATTGATTTCCGTTGTTTGTATTTCATTGGAATTGTTTGTTTAAATTGGTAAAAGTAATTTATTCCATACATTTATGTTTTGCAATTCGTTTGTGTCACACCCCAAAACCAAGAACGGCAGAAACGTTCTGGGGCGGATGACGTCATGTACAGTATCACAACAATAAAAAGTAGTAAACAAGCAACAACATCATCCATTGCATTAATAATATAATTTTAATACAAGTGTTCTGACAAATTATGATAGACACCAAAGTATAATCAAAATGAAAGATGAGTCTTGAACGAGCTCCATCTTCTCTAAATCTTGCATCGGTACCTGTCTATTGATGACCTGAGGATACAAGTATTTTGAAAGCGAGTATCAGCTTTAAAGCTGGTGAGATCATAAGTATTTTAGTGTCTTAATTTATATGTAATAAATTTTTTGTATATGAACTGTAAGTATTGAAAATGTATATGAACTGTAAGTATAAAAATGTTTGTAAAACAACTGTAAACGTTTGAAAAACCCTAGAAATCCCTATGATTCCTACTATTATAAATGAGAGTCTTCTACCAAGACCTAACTGCTCTGAATGTAGCCTTCTACCAAGACCTAACTGCTCTGAATGTAGTCTTCTACCAAGACCCGACTGTTCTGAATGTTCGTTTCTTGTAAAAGTGTGTGATTTTCCCAAGTGTAACTATCATTAACAAAATATAGTTTTTACCTTTAATGTTTAAGTGAAAAGATCACTAAATATATGTAAAGGGGAAATTAATGTAGTACTGTAATGTAGTGCTATAAGAACTACTGCTGTACTAACTACCTTAAACCGGATTTATATTAAGGCATCATGTGATTAATTGTACCATACTATCGACTGGGTAACAACGACAAATGTAGGTCGTAAAAAGGTATGACGTTTGGCACCCGCAGACCTGCAGGTCCGGCTGTAGCTAGCAGCAAGGTGTAGGATAGTCAATCCAGTATAGATCTATACGCAAACTCACGCTCTCCCTCCAAGAGACTCTGGCTACAACTCGGGTCATGACATTGAAGGCATGCTCCGATACAGTGGATCACAATTTTATTAACGTATTCATGTATATGTAATGTATTGTTAATCGTTCTACATGTGCTAGCTGTAATGTGTGTTCTCTTTCTATCTAGCAGGTATAGTAATGTACTGTAATGTTCTAGCTATAATGTATGCTCTCTCTATCTAGCAAGTATTGACTCATGAATGAACTGACTCATGGTATGATATCGCGTTCTAGAAATAGTTCTAGTATCTTCCTAAACTACCCATATGGTAGCTTACTAGTAATTTAACTGGTACGTATGAACATGGATGTATACCCTTGCTACCCAAGGGCATTGGATGAACTGGAAGGACCTTTATGACTATATATGTACATATGATATATAACTAATATTTAAACAACCTTCGGACGGATACCCGATATCCCACCAGACCATATCTCAAGCGCGAAAAGGAAATAGGGTGGATAGCCTTCCTAAGTCCTTTAAACATTTCTTATATATCTATACATATATAGGCATGCAATTGATAATATAAAAGCATAAAGTAAGTTTTGTAAAACCTTTGAACATAATTATTATCTAAGAAACGATCGACTTGATGTCAATCTATAAAACGGGTTGGGAGCATGGGTTTGATAAAACAATTTAAGTATAAGGAAACATTTGTTTGAAACACAATTGTAAATGAGTTTGAAATGAAACATACAGAGTAAAATGTACAGTTTAATAAGGAGTTTTAAACATATAAAGTGTTTATGAAAAACACTTAACTGTTTGGTAAAACGGCTAATGAGTAGTCAATCATTTGAATGCTACTTACTAATCACATGTGATTGATATAGTAACTAACATGATTCTACTTGTATCCCCCCCGTAAAACATTTAAAAACAGTTAAAACATTGATTAAGGGGTATGAACTCACCTGTTGTGGGTGATACGGATGAACTGAAGAGGTAGGACTGCTAGGTGTCAAGTGAAGACTTTAGACACACACAATGGTCCTAATTACATATGAAGACATATGTATATAAACAATTAGTGATTATAACACTAATTAAACATGTATAAACATCCTAATGCGAGGAAAACACTTTGGTCAAGTGCTAGGAGGCTAATGGGTTGCAACAAAGGAGTGCAAGACCTCATACGGAAGTTTATGGTCTAAAGACCATGTGTGTTGGAGTTTACGGCCTAGGGGAGTAAACTCCTGGCCGTAAACTCTCCATTGGGGCTCTAAATGAAGCTCAAAGCTATTACAACTTAAGTGGTGAAGTGCTTCTAGGCTTAAACAAGTGTTAGGGCTTCCTTTTAACTCCTTTGAGGAGTTCACGGCCCATGGACCAAATCCCATGGAGATTACGGCCGTAATCTCCCTTGGGAGGGTGTTTGTGGTGTTTTCAAGTCCCTAATTTAACTAAGAATAAATCAAGGTAATTGTCCAAGGCTTTAGAAGAGTTTATAGCACCATTTGGCACCATTGTTTGGAGTTCACGGCCCTAGAACTTCTTGGGCCGTGAACACCTTACTCTTGGTGTTCTAAGGGTGTTTGCTAGTCCTAAACTCATTTAGGTACATGTCTAAACTAGTCTCTTGGCTTAAGGAAGGCTTTTAAGGCATTTTGACACCTTAAAATGGAGTTCACGGCCCAAGAACTTCCTTGGCCGTGAACTCACTTTCAACCCTTGATTCTTAATGTTTTGGATGTCTAAACAAGCTATGGGTAGTCTCAAGGTTCATTTCCAAGGTTCGGAGGGTCATTGGGCACACTTTGGCCCTTATAAAAGAGTTTACTCTCCAAGTGTTCTTGGGCGGTAAACTCTCAAATCTTGGGTTTTTGATCCGATTTTGATGTTATTAGGCACAATCTAAGCTATATATTACAACTAGATAGAAGTACTCACGATTTGGGATGAAAACCCGAAGATCCGTGAGAGAGAAAATGGCTTTTCTCTAGTTGGAAATGTGACTAATGAATAAATATGGCTCAGATTTCTATATATAGTCCTGGGATTTTTGGCAGAAAATATTTTATTCCCATAATAAACTCTAATATCACAGAGTTTTGGAATAACCGTGTTGCACAAAACCCTAGTGCATCCACTCTCCTGATATCTCCTTAAGTGTAAATCCTGAAAAACTGTCAAACTTATACCCAAGAGTCTGGAACTTAACTGTAACTGTTCTATCTTCTATTGACTTGATATGGTTTGTACAGAATGGAAATTTCGAGTTGTCACAGTTTGTTGTTTTCCCAGATAAGGTAAGCTTTTTTACTCTGTAATATATTATTTCTTTACACAAGGTAAATTTAGTAAGTTTGTACTAGATTGATTTTGTTTGTTATTCATTGTATATTAAATTTTGTTGAACTTAAATTTCATTGATTTCTCACATTTGGATATCATATGTATTAGCAATTGTGTTATTTGTGATTGTTTTGTAGAAATTTGGAGAATTTGATTGAAAAGTCAATCTACATTCAGATGTATCAAAATCTTTCATTTATTTCTCAAATTTGGATTTAATATGTATTAGCAATTGTGTTCTTTGTAATTGTTTTATAGAAATTTAGAGATTTTGATGGAAAAGTCAATCCACATTCAGATGTTTCAAAATTGAAAAGTCATTCTGACTCTGATAGTGTTGAAATAATCGACTTTAGTGCTCACTTCAGTCCCTACAAATCCCAGTTGGAGAGGGTAATTTCGGAAGAGGTAAAAATTTTATTATTTATGTTTTTAGATATATATGCATGTAAGTTTGTTTTTCTATTTCAGGTATCTTTAATTGCCAAAGAAGAGGAGAAGCTGTCAAAAAAAGAAAAAAGGAAGTTGGCTTTGTTATGTTGGAAGTGGGAAGAAGTTGTAGATCTATGTGAAGATGAAGACTTGGGTGTAGATCTACCATTCATACCAGTGAACAAGAAAGTGAAAGTTTCCATTCAATCAAGAAATCGAGTCATGAAACTTATTGACGAATCAGATGTTGATTAGTGATTTACATTAAGTTTGTGAATTTTTTTTTTTGAGAATTGTTCTTTTGGATTTGCTGCATTTAGTGGTTAGTTGTTTTTTGGATTAATGTTACTAAGTTTTTCAGTTGTAGTTGATTGTTTTTAATGTTAGTTCACTATTATTGCTTTCAATTAAAGTAAGTGGATATCCTTATCAATTACTTTCAGCATATTTTATTTCGTTTAATACTGTTTACCCCACATGCATCATCATTTATGGTTTTGGACCATTTTACCCTTTCTACCCCAAATTGTATTGTAATTGTCATGGATAGTTTTGCATGACAATTTAAGGAAAACCAGATCTGATTTATTAAGTTTTTATTGCATGCTTAAATGTGAGAGACACACCCTCCTTACATAATGGTTATATGCAAGAAATAACACTGTTCTTTAATTGATTTGTTTATCATAGCATCCCACTTTCATTCTTTATAATAAATATTTTTACTTTGAAAATCTACCACTCTTAGCAATATGATTCAAATTGAAATGAATTTTCATTAACAAATTTCTAATCGGTTTTAATGATATTGGACCATTTTACCCCTCCTGCATTAAAAATTATTATTAACCGTTTTACCCCTGCTTGCATTATGAGTGTTTTATGTTACAGGTAGTTTTGAGTTTTTGTTGTGAAAAACACAAATAATATAAATAGTAATTATGTTATCTTTTCTTAATTAACCATTATACTTTAAATTATAGCATCATACTTTACATTCTAATTGTTATTTACAATAAAAAAGTATTTTTTTTGTTATTGCAACATATTCGTTATTCGTTTTAATGATTTTGGACGCTTTTACCCCTCCTGCATCTGATTTTGGACCGTTTTACCCCTTCCCCATATGTAACTTCTCTTTGGTTTTTTCAAGCATTTTAACCTAATTTATACCTGCTAAATTCAGTTAGGTAGTTTCAGAGTATTAAAAATATAAGAAAATTTATGAGGGAAATTTAAATTATGCGTTTTTTCTTTTTTCTTTTGTTTTTTTATCTATTATTTGTTTATTTAAATGTTATTTATATGAATATAAAAAATAGAGGGCAATAATGGAATTTGGACGGTTTACATGATTGGAGTTTACGAAAACTTGGGATTAAAGTTGAGGGGTAGTGTATGTAACCGTTTCTTCTTTAAACTGTTACATCGGATTTGCTATGCAAGTTTATTCTATAACTTGCGATCAAATGAATTATGTGCATTGTAGTATATCGAAACATTCTCTGTATCCATAACTTCCTTCATTCTGCTTCAATTAGTCGGGCAATCTGAAATTGGAATACATAAAAGGGTGATACAAGGTATTAACTTCAAATTAGCTATTACTTATCTTTTTTTAATGTTTGTTTATATGTTTGTAAGTTATTTATGCGACAAAAAGTATGAGTTTTGCGAAATTGGATTAGTAATTCGTTTAACAATTGAAATATTGTATTGTGTTTTCAAGTTGTTTTGTTGTGTTTGTTGATTTTGTTGTTTTGTTTGTAAAGAAAACGTCTTACATAAAAGAAAAACGGTTTGTTTTGCCAAATTTTGTTTGTTTTTGCCTAAAATTGTAGATGAATTATGTTTTTTTTTATTTTGATGTAAGTTGTTTGCTATACAGGTTATCTTTTTCTTTCTCATATCTGTCAAGACAAAGAAACTATTTTTTGTTGTGTAATTATCTGAAACATATAACAACTTTCTCTGATACAATCAAGAATGGATGATGCTGAAGGTTATGAAATCAATTGTCAAACACAACTCCATACGGAGGTATCTTTTTCAATTATGTTTATGTCAACCCTACTGTTAAGTTCTCGACATTGGTATTTATTAAATAAATCTATAAATGGTGTGAGGTGAAATGGGAGGGGTGTGGGCATAATGGTCATTCTACTTTCAATATACTACCATTGTATTTATAATGGTTATTTTTATACTTTCATCTACCTTTTTAATCATTCATATGTTATATGCAATTTAAATATTTATTTTTAGTTTATGTTTATTGATTATATGATTATTTTAATTGTTTTACAGCAGGCATTATTGGACACTGACGTGTTTATTGAAATTCTTTCGAGAACATCATTAAAGCCATTTAATATCATACGTTGTACAAGTAAACATATTCAAAAACTAACGTACAACAGCCATGTTCTTGATCTTTTCAAGGGGAAATAATGTGCTTCATGGATGTAACATCCCAAAAATACGAGCCAAAAATTTCATTTTTAAAACACATACTTAGCAAAACATTAGAAATAAAACATTCACCGATCATATCATTTCATAAAAGATGTGCGTGTCTGGAAACCAGTTTATAAAAACATAACAATGTTAGAGTACAAATCCCCAGGAAGATCTCATAGTGCGGAATACAAGGCGTGTGTGTGATGTGCTGCTACCGCGCCAGCTCCTTCCCCTTCGAAGAAGAGGTACCTGAAACCAAAACTGAAAACTGTAAGCACGAAGCTTAGTGAGTTCCCCCATCGTACCGCATACCATACAATCACGTATCATACATATTGCCGGGCAATTCTGGGGTGCCCGACTTACCCGGTACGGCCATTTTGGGGTGCCGACCTACCCGTGTCAAGCCGTTCTAGGGTGCTGACTACCCATGTCAGTCCATTCTGGGGTGCTGACTACCCATCGGCCCTATCGATCGATCCTCGGGGACTATTTCACCCCTACTGCTACTATCACATATATCATAACATAACATAATATCAGACATATCTGGGGTGCCTGAACTACCCTTCGGTCCTAATAACCGAACTCGGGGACTGGTCCCCTCCTACTACCTCTATCGCATATAACATAACAAGCCAGCATGCAAACATATCATCACATACTGTCAGACGTATCTGGGGTGTCTGACTACCCTTCGGTCCTAACAACCGAACTCTACTACTATCACATACGACATATCATGCTAGCATATAACATATCAGGTAGTAGCAAACCTAGATGATATCACAAAGACAATCATTTATCATACTTCTCCTACTGGTGGGCCGACATTGTGGCCTTAGACCCACCGCTACTGGAAGGTAACTCACCTCGAAAGTAGTTGCTGAAGTCTGCTTGCTGAGCGCCTGACTGCTGGATCGCAAATCCTCCGGCTATAAACCATAAACATAGGTTAGACACCCATAAATACCCTTAGGTCAAAAGACTGACCCTCTCTTGGTCCAAGGTCAACTCCTTGGTCAAAGTCAATGTCCATTTGACTGGACTCGCCGAGTCACGGCATAGACTCGCCGAGTCCTTTTCCTATTAACCCGGTCCTACTCGACCAGTCCTTCTTCCCACTCACTGAATCACCCTTAACTCATTACTTGGGACGATTGAACCGACTCGCGACCCGACTCGCCGAGTTTGAAGAACAACTCGCCGAGTTCCAGGCAATCTTCATAGGACTCGCCGAGTTGTTCATCCAACTCGCCGAGTCTAAGGCCACCTTCATGGAACTCGCCGAGTTCCTCCTTGGGACTCGCCGAGTCCCTATGACCCATTTCCAATATAGGCCAAATCTGAGACATGCAACGCTTCAAAACCACAGATCCATGTTCCTTGAGCATGCTTATCACGTAAAGTTGCAAAAACTTACGTGCATGCATGGCCCTATACGCTCATAAGGCCAAACCAAACTCTTAATGAGGTCATGCACTCAATGGGAACCCCAATCACTTCAACCACATAAACTTTATGCTTCTAATTCATCCAATAAGCCTAGATCTGAAGTCCTTTCGGATCATTAAGCATAACACATGGAGTTTGGTGTTTTAGGGCTTGAAACCCACCAAATTGGGACAAAAATGGTAACTAATGACCTAAAGATCAAGGTAGGGACTTTTCTACCTGAATGGAAGCTTCTCCCTGAGTAGAGTTCGGATCTACTCCTTTCCTTGCACTTTTCAACCACATCTTTCCTCTTCCAAGCTCAAAATCTTCTTCACAAAGCCAAAAACACTCTCAAGAACAATATGGGGGCTAGGGTCTCGCTCTACTGCTCTCTGGAAGTGTTAGGGACAAAGGAGGCCAAGTTAGAGCATTTAAATAGGGTGCAAACACCCGGATTAGGGTTTTTGCCCAACCAGGGCCTACTCGCCGAGTCCGGGGACCGACTCGCCGAGTCCAAAGTCCAACTCCCGCGCCTTGTCCCACTCCTACTCGGCGAGTTGGCCCATCAACTCGCCGAGTCCAAGGCAAAATGCATTATTTTAAGAAAGTAAATAGCAAGGAGTACGTACCGGGAACCAGGTGCTACAAATCTCCCCCACTTATCTTAGACTTCGTCCTCGAAGTCTGCTGCTCGATCCTGAAATAGCTCGGGGTAGTGCTCCATCATCTCTTCCACCGGCTCCTAAGTCCACTCCGAACCCTTTCGGTGCTGCCATTGCACCTTCACGAGTTCCACCCTTTTGTTCCTCAGATCCTTCGACTTCCTGTCGAGGATTGCCACAGGCCGCTCGATGTAATTCAGGCTGTCGTCGACCTGAATATCCTCCAAAGGCACCACTGTCGAGTCTTCCACCAAACACTTCCGCAACTGAGAGACGTGGAAAGTGCTGTGGATCTGGCTGAGTTCGGCTGGTAGATCCAACCTATACGCCACCTTGCCCACCCGGGCTACAACCCTGAATGGCCCGATGTACCTTGGGCCTAACTTACCCCGCTTTCTGAATTGGATGACGCCTTTCCATGGCGACACTTTCAGAAGAACCATATCCCCAACTTGGAATTCCAAGTCTGAACGGCGCTTGTCGGCGTAACTTTTCTGCCGACTCTGAGCAGTCTGAAGCCTGCTCCGGACCTGCTGAATCTTCTCTGTCGTCTGGAGCACCACTTCGGTGCTTCCCATGACCCTCTGGCCAACCTCTCCCCAACATATCGGGGTCCTGCATCTCCGTCCGTACAACATCTCGAAGGGAGGACGGTCAATACTCGCGTGGTAGCTGTTGTTGTATGAGAACTTAGCT